CCTTCCTTCCCTCCTTCCTTCCTTCCCTCCTTCCTTCCCTCCTTCCTTCCTTCCCTCCTTCCTTCCCTCCTTCCTTCCCTCCTTCCTTCCCTCCTTCCTTCCCTCCTTCCTTCCCTCCTTCCTTCCCTCCTTCCTTCCCTCCTTCCTTCCCTCCTTCCTTCCCTCCTTCCTTCCCTCCTTCCTTCCCTCCTTCCTTCCCTCCTTCCTTCCCTCCTTCCTTCCCTCCTTCCTTCCCTCCTTCCTTCCCTCCTTCCTTCCCTCCCTCCCTCCCTCCCTCCTTCAGTGGTAGAATTCTTGCAAAACCAATTACATTATATGAAAAATACAGGCAGTTATGTTAGTTCATGAGGAAAAAAATCCCCGGAGGAATGGGATCATAATACTTTATTATTACCAAATGAAAATCACAAGTAGCAAGCCAGTTCCAGATAGGTAGCTGTGCCTACAGCAGCAAAATAAAACAGGAGTCCAGTGGCGCCTTAAAGACTAACAAAGGGCTTTTCTGTATGTTTGACTTACTCCTGATTTTCTTGCATTTGATCCACAAGCATTTGAATCCATCTGGGCATGGTTCAACCACATGTCTGCCCTCCCTCAGCATTTTCACAATTGCAAAGTCAGTGTATTTTCTTCTGTACTTCCCTTAAATTATCAGGGTTTTCAAATGAGGGTGCTGTTGTCATCAGTGATGTCATAGTACCCACCTTTTTATTTTTGTGCATTCTTATATTGATGTAATGGCTGCCATTGTGTAATGATAGGTCAGGCAGGTTTTCTGAATTTTCAGATTTCATTTAAAAAGTAAGTCTCCAGTCTCCTCCCTCACAGAGATATAAGGAAAAAGGCATATCTCTGCAAGGGAAGGCAATAGAAACTTTTTTAAAAAATAGAAGATGGGAATTCAGGGAACGTGCTTGACCCAACATTACAATGGTAGGACGATATTGATATTTTAGTGCCTTTAAAAAAAACACTTGTCTTTAGGGCAGAGGAGAAGGAGATGGGGCAGTTTGACAATAATGACAGTCCAATAATTGAAAAGTGGGATAGAGGAAACAAGGGAAAAGGTGACTCAAAACTGGCTTCCACAAAAAAGATCAGGGTAAAACTAGTCTCAAAAGAACTGGGAGGGAAGGAGGGGGGAGGAACAGAAAACCCCCAAAGTGAAAACTAAAGGCAAAAAAATACATGTGAAAATCAGGGGATAAACCGAAGCAGTATGGGGCGAGAACTGACCCCCCCACCCCAAAAATGCAGAAAAGACTAATATTTTTTCCAGCATAAGCTTTCATTAGGCAGATGATCACCTCACCCTGATCTTTTTGTTCTGAACATAAAAGCGTCGACCTAGGCAATGTACACTCCAATATGAGTGAGCTGTGAGCTGTGACTCAAGAAAACTTATCCTGGAAGAAACTGTGTTGGTCTTTAAGGTATCCCTCAACTAATGTTTTAAAAAGCGAGCCAGCTTTTGAGCTGCACAGAAGGTTCCCTATAGAAAAGATGCTGCTGTTAGGGGGCACAATAAAACCTCAGTCTGTGTCGTCATTTTAAGATGGTGACTCAGGATGGTCTTTAAAGAGGGACTGAGGGGCAAAGTAGAAGTTACACACAGATGTGTGAAATGCTACCTTCTATAAAATGCTGCTTCTGGAGGAGCTGTCTGAAAAGCCACAAGATGGAGTGGAGGGCTTGCTTAACCCTTTCGCTACTTGCTGTTCAATTCTTTTGCTCCAGCTCACTTCCCCCGTGGTATTCTGAATCTGCATTTGCGGCAGCGAAACGGTGGACAGGGAAAAGGTTAAACGCCTTTCCTCCACGTGGCTTCTCTGGTAACTATCTCTCCCTCTGAAAGCCGTGTGTTCCAATCTCATTATCCATTTAATTTTAGAAAAGAGCAAGAGTCCAGTAGCACCTTAAAGACTAACAAAATATGAGGCCGGGTATGAGCTTCTTCAGGAGCTGCGGTGGCTCAAGTGGTTAAGACGCTGAACTGCAGGCTGTGGAAGGTCGGTAGTTCAGCAGTTTGAGACCCGGGTGCCGCATGACGGAGTGAGCTCCCGTCTCTAGTTCCGGCTCCTGCCAACCTAGCAGTTTGAAAGCAAGAAATTGCAAGTAGATAAATAGGTACCACTTCGGTGGGAAGGGAACAGCGTTCCGTGCGCCTTGGTGTTTAGTCATGCCGGCCACATGACCACGGAAACATCTTCGGACAGCGCTGGCTCTTCGGCTTTGAAACGGAGATGAGCACCGCAACCCTAGAGTCGGGCTCGACTGGCTTTCGAGCAAGGGAACCTTTACCTTTTTATGAGCTTCTTCAGACGACACACGAGAACTCATCCCCGGCCACATATTTTGTTAGTCTTTAAGGTGCTACTGGACTCTTGCTCTTTTCTACTGCTACAGACAAAGACGGCTACCCATCTTGATCTATTCCCCATTTAATTATATATTATACATGTGTATAGTATCTAAGGTGGGTGTCCCTAAATCAGCTTGTGTCCAGTGCGAAAAATCATAAGGTTGACCAAGGCAAGAGAAGCCATGGAAATGTCCTGTGAAGCCCAAAAACTCTCCTGAGAACATAAAAGCCACCGGTTACTTGAACCCATCTTTGGCACTCATCAGGATGGCCTGGGTCTCTTGCAAGGTGCAGGGCAGAAGGAGTAGGGTAGTCTCTCTGTTAGTAAAGCTGGAGTCTAATTTTTAAATTGTGCACTCACTACAGAGTCAGTGGGAGACAAATTAGGTAGCATTGCTTCATACTGCCCAATTCAAGAATAAAAAGGAGCATCCCTTATAATCCCTAGGGATGTGTGCCATTCCCTCACCCCCATTTTCACTTCCTTTCCTCTTTAAATAATGTGATTCTGGTTTCTGCTGCATGAAGCTCT